AGAAGAGATGGATATGGGGTGAGGGAAATAAACTATGCTTTTGATGTATTAGATTTGGAATGCCTTTTGGACAGCAAGGTGGAAGTATCAAGGAGACAGTTTGAACATGGTTATTTCATATGAAGCAGTGGAATGGTATGGAAACTTGCCTTTTTTAAAAGATATTTATTTATTTATTTATTTATTAGAGAGAGAGTGAGAGAGAGCACAAGCAGAGGAAGGGGCAAAGGGAGAAGCAGACTCCCTACTGACCAGGGAGCGTGATGCGGGGCTCAATCCTGGGACTCTTGGATCATGACTTGAGCTGAAGCAGATGCTTAATGGAATGAGCCACTCAGGCACCCTGAAACATGCCTTTCAAATCAAGAAAAATATCCAATTATTTCACTTTATTTCCTTTATGTTTGTTTAGCAGGGGCCTTTCTGAAGGCTTATTCCAAGCAGTTGAAGAGAAAGGATTGACACTATTTGCTGAGAGTAAGGAAAGAATGTAGTGTTAAAAAAGATGTAGGCTTTCTTTTTATTCCCTCCAATTCCCCCTCCCCCCATCCTTATGAAGGTGAAGATAGCTATTATGTCGTGTGGGTAAACCATAGAAAGAGTGGCTTAACTGGCTTGGGCGTGGGAGCTGACCATGGTGAGGGGAATCCTTGGGATGGTAGGCACTCTAGATTAATTGTCCATATAGTTAGCAAAATAACCACTAAAAGAAGTTCTACTGGCCCTGCCTCTAGATTGGAAAAGTTGTATATGAGTCTGAACATAGAGTGAATGTCATGGTGGGGATGCTGTACCTCAAAGCATTTTTTAAAAGTTTTTATTTTAATTCCAGTTAGCTAATTTACAGTGTTATATTAAGTTTCACATGTACGATACAGTGATTCAACAATTCCATATATCACCTTGTGCTCAAAGCATATTTTTTTTTTAGAGAGAAAAGCGTGCAAGTGGGGTGGGGGTGAGGGAGAGGGAGAAGGAATCTTAAGCACACTGAATGTGGAGCCCAAGGCAGGGCTTAGTCTCATGACCCTGAGATTTGACCCAAGCTGAAATCAAGAGTCTGACGCTTAACCGACTAAGCCATCCAGGCACCCCTCAAAGCATTTATTAAAGTAACATTTTTGTTTGATTTCAAAGCAGATATACAAAACCTGGAAAATACAGGAATATGCAAAAAAGAACATCATAGTTGTATTTTGATAAATTCTTGTAGTCCTTTTTCTAAGAATTTTTTCTTAAACTCTTCTTTTTATAAGTAATGTGTATTTTAACATGTTTTCAGTTAGTGATATAAATGTATCATTTTCAGTTAGTGATAAATATATGACATGTTCCAAAAAAATATTTTCCATGTCATGACATGATACATTTATAGATAACTATTAAATGGCTATACAGTATTTCAATGTGTAGATGAATCATAACTTATTTACTAAGCTTTTGTTTTTTTTAGAATTTCTAAATTTTTCACTTTTATAAGTAAGGTACTTTGAAATTCATATAGATAAATCTCACAAGTATTTCCTTTGGATAATTTTTGCTAGAATCAAATAATTTTAATGCTTTTAATACATAATGACTCATTGCCTTCCAATAAGATTATACTGATTTATAATCTCAGCAGTATTTGTTCATACCCATTTCTCCACTTCCGAGCTAATAGTGGGTATAATAACTAAAAAAAATACTGATTTGATTGATGAAACATTTTACTCCTGCATATTTGACTCTGAATTCTTTCTTTTGTGACTCACCTGAGCATAATCTTTGTCCACTTTTCTAATGGTATGTCAATCTTTTCCTTATTGCTTCTTTTCTAATGTTTTGTTCAGAAATAAAACTTTAAAAAGTTGTAAACATAATGATAGTACAGAGAGCACCCAAATAGCTTTTACCCAGTTTAACATTTTAACCCATTTGCTTTCTCTCTCATCCTTTCCCTGGCCCCCTCCTCTCTCTCTCTACACACACACACACACACACACACACACACACACACACACACACACACACACACACACTTTTCTTTCCTAAATCATTTGAGGATAAGTTACATACAACCTGACGCTTTACCTCTAAATACTTTAGCCTGCCTTTCCTCAGGATGGTGATACTTTACAAAAGCACAGGAATCTGTGTCATAAATTTACATACAGTACTTTAATCTACCATCCATATTCTAATTTTGTTAGTTGGCCTTTATAGCATTTTCTCCACTCGTATAGGACTAGTAGAGTCAGCTTGTTTGGCATGTCTTTTTAGCCTCCTAATTCTGGAATACTTTCAGTTTATCTTTTTATATGACCCTGGCATTTTCTGAAAAATGTAGAACCCCTCAAACTTTTTTAAATAAAAATTTTCATTTTATGTTGGTCTAATGTTTCCTTTTGATTGGATTAAGGGCATGTACTCTTAGCCAGAAAACCATATAAGTGAGGATGTGTCCCTCTTAGGGTACGACCATCGGCCTGCCTTTATTTGGTGATACTAATTTTGATCACCTGGTAAAGGTACCGCTCAATTTTTTTCACTCCCTTATTCCTGGGTTTTATTTTGTTGTTGTTCCTTTTCAACTAGTAAGCAGTCTATAAGAGGCACTTTAAATACACTTTAAATCTTTCCTCCTCATCAAAATTTATCCCTCGATATAGCATCAATTAATGATTTTACCTTATCTAAACTTTGCTACAGTGGTTGCTAAATGAAGATTTTTCTGACTCCAGCCCTCCCTCCCCATTAATTAGCCCCCAGCATCCTACTTTAAACAAGAGCTTCACTTCTTCTCATTATTTATTTATTTATTATTGGTATAGACTGATGAACTTATTTTTTCAATGGTTTATAATTGATTACTGTACTGAATTGTTTTGATACATAAATTATCTAAGCTTAGCCAGTAAGAGCCCCTTCAAGCTGCCTCCCGTGACATTGGAACATGGTTTCCTCATCTTTTATAAGCACTTCCTCACCTTCTGACATAACAAGATATCTCAGATATACTTACTCTGCCTAGTCTTGGAAGCAGCCATTTCTCTGAGTACTCTTAGTTCCTTTGAATAGGAATGGCATTAGAGACTGAGTATGCTCATGTGCTGCTTGAGTCTGTTGATGGTTTTGTGGGCTTATGTATATGGCAGACATATCAAAGTATATATGTACTTCATTGTATGTCAACATGATACCTTAATCTATTTTACAACAAGTGGATAATAAAAGAAAATAACATGTTTTAAAAAGACATTTTTTGCAAAAGAAAAAGTTAAACTAAAATATAGTGTTCACAGATAAAACTTGGGTAATAAAATGCTAAAGAAAATCAAAGTAATAACCATAAAATTCATGAAAATGGTTATTTTAGGGAGGAGGGAGTTGGCTGTGACTGGGACGAGGGACATGAAGCTTCTAGGGTAGCTGGTCAGGTTTTATGTTTTTACCTGGATGGTAGTTATGAGAGTTTTCTCCTAATAATTCATTATATAATTGTTTTATGTAATTTTCCTGTAGCTTACAATTTTATCATATTTTACAATAAAAATGGTTTTAAAAATAAATGAATGTTTATGTTCATGATGCAAATAAATTATTACTTATAAGAAATTAAAGTCATTCTACAAGTAGGGCAAACTCATTGACAATCTAACATATAATTCATTGTACAGTTTATAAGCTATTTTAAGGTACTTTCAGATAATGACTTATTAATAAGCAGCCTATACAAACTTAAACTGGAATATTACTCTTTCTTAATATATTCACTTTTTGAGTTTTGGTACAAAACCCAATTACATAAAATCAAGACATATGTTTATTTCAGTTTTGGAATTTCCATTTGGTTCATTTTAATGGTTTATTTTTCTGCTGAGATTTATCATCTTTTCACTAATTAGAGTTTTTTTTTTTATGTCTTTGAGCAGAGTTATAACTGCTCTTTGAAAAATCCTTGTCTGCACATTTCAGTATCTGGGTCATCTCAGAGGCAGTCCCTATTAACTGTCATTTCTCTTGAGAATAGGTCATGCTTTTCTGTTCTTGTGTTGAGTAATTTTTATTATATTCTGGGCATTGTAAAAATGTTATATTATGGAAATTCTGGATTCTGTTATATTTCTCCAAATACTATTGTTGGTGGGGGTGAGGGTGGTGCTGCTTTAAGCAGTTAGTTAATTTGGTTGGCCTCAGACTGTAAACTCTGTCTCTGGGGCAACAGCTCAGATCTCTGTTTAATTCTTTTATCTTTAGCCTGCTTGGAGTCTGCCCTGTGCATGTAGAGTTCAGGGCTCAGTCAGATGTGTGTGTGTGTGTAGGGTCTATCTGAGGTATTGGGACTCCTTTTTGACTCTCCTATTTTGAGTCACTCTTCACTTTTCAGCACTATGGTTGACCCAAACGGTGCTCTAGTTCTTTAGGCCAGACTGTGTTTTCTTTCAGAATGTTAGTTCCCCTTCATGATGCAGACTGGAGCCTCAGGTTTGAAATCATTAAAAACAACAACAAAAACAAACAAACAAAAAACAACACAAAAAGCCTGACCTTCATGCTGTCACCTCATTCCAAGTGTCAGCTTCCCTCCAGAATCTTCTTGTTTTTGTTCACTTTCCAATGCCTTCGAATAGGGGTTTTTCTTTTTTTAATGTTCTGCAAAGTTTAGACTTTTTATTTATATGCAGGTCGTTGACAGGGGCCCACTTAGCCATTATAGAAGTGACCTGAATGTTTATTTCTTTAAAGAAATAATAGTATAAAGTTGCTAAGAAATTTCTCCTATGGATGAATAAAATAATGATACGGAAAAACATACTGTTGGACTAACAGATTAGGTTATTTTTTGGCAGAAAAAAACCTTTATATTTCTCATTTCAAGGAAGTATGCATATATAATCACAAATAGAATATAAAGATAAGAAAAGTAATAAAGGAAAAACATGTTTTTAAAAAGGGAAAACATTTATACTTGAACTATTTTGAAATAAAATATTTTAACCTCTTTTATATTATTTTAGGAATAAATCTAATGAAGCTGATGACTGTCAAAGAGAACTTAGAAAACTGAAGTTTGAATCCATTATTTCTGAGTCACGGTACACATTGCAAATTTTTAAATTAATATTTTTAGTCATTGAATTTGAAACCATACTCTAAGTAACATTTTATCTGTTATGTACTTAGCTTTTCTTATTGTATTATTTACATATATATTACATATACATATATATTAATATATACACATATATGTTACATATATATAATATCTAATTCACATTTATAATATCTTGAGATTGTTCATTGATTTTGCCTCTGCCTAGATGGGGCAGTTTTAATATCACAGAACTATCCATTTTCTTAGTATTTTTAAAATTGTTCTTTAAAGTTAAAATTATAGTCTTTAGCTTCAAATGAGATTTTCTAAAATTTTTGATAAACATAACAATCTAGTGTCTAATGTGTATTGGTGTTTTTTTTTTTATCCCGTTCCATTTTAGGCATACCAGATTGCTTAAAGAGAAAGAGGATTCTTTAATGGCTTGTCAACAAATATATAAAACTTTACAGGAAGAACTGACTGCAAAAGAAAGGCAAGAAGAAGACATAAAAAGAAGAATTAACCTTGCAGAAAATGAACTACAGATAACCAAAACTCTTCTGACTCAGACAAAGGAAGAGGTTGTAACACTGAAAAATGAAAGGTGCAGTCCCTAATAATTTCTTCCAAATATTTCATTTAAGTCAATATTCCATATATATTTGAAATATCAAGGTCTTACATATATTAATGACAGTGAAATCACGGCATTAAGGATATATTTTACAGGAAAGGTCATCACATCCCACCACCTCATTTGACAATGATTAAACTGAAATCAAATTGGTTAAATGACATGTTTAAAGTCACATAGTTAGTGAAAGTAGAGATGGAATACACATTGCATTTGATGTTAGACTTTTATTGAAAAGTATCAAAAAGACCATGTGTGATCTTATACTACTGAATTTCACCTGGGCCAATAATTGTTGGATTCTATCATTTTGCAACAGGAAAACATCTTTTTGTATCACTTTTTCCTTTTATTAGCTCCTACGTTTCTTCTCTGTTACTTATCAACACCTCTTATTGAGGACTCTCCACAAAGATACCTCTTGCATTCAGGTAGTAAAGGGAAGCTAAAAAGCATGTTCATTTAGCCTTCCTAGATATTGTCGCTCAGTTAATTTGTCTTTAAATTGACCTTATTTGTACTTAATATTCTCAACCCCACTTTCTTTCTTTTTGTTTTCATTTGCCTCTTATGTGTTTACTCATTCTTTTTGAGTTCTTTAGTTTTAAAGGCATATCTGATATGTAACACACATTTGGGGCTTTTATTTTATTAGTTTTTATCAAATCTGGGAGTCTTTAATGGGAGATATCCCATTTACATTTATCAATATAACTATTATATTCCAGAAGAACATAAGTTCCATAAGGCAAGAATTTTTGTCTTATATTACTCTCTGTGCACAGAATCCAAAATTGGCTATTTGTTTTTCATTCTTCCCAGAATTTTTTTAGTTTATTTTTTATTTTGTTAATTTCATTTTATGAGTATTAGACCAATTTCTAACTTAGAAGATTTATAAACTTTTTTTTAGTTCTTTACAAAGGCAGCTATTTGTTCCCAGAGGAAAAGTCTGGGAGTGGGTAGCAAGTGGCTTAGAATTAAGTTAATTGTCTTAGAACTTTTTCATCAACTCTTTGCCCTGGGTTATATCTGTCTCTACTCTAGGCTAGAAGGGGTTCTGTCCAGTTCATAGGAGAACAAGTCTTATCTCTGGTCCATCCTGGGATAAGATGAACAACTGCAATGCTGATTGCCACCCATGATTTCTTCCTGACTCAGCCATACCAACAACCTGCCTCTTGCAAAGTACCAACAACCTGCCTCTTGCAAAGATGGTATACCTTATAGTTACATGACTCTTCATTCCACCCCACCACCTCTGCCATTTCACAATTGCATAGTCACTCAGCCCATAGCCCATTAGAAGCAGCAATTTCATAAGTATGGAATTTGCAAGGGCCAAGTTACTAATAACAAGAAGGAATGGCAGCTGAAAGATTGGTCATGCATAAGAAGAAAAAAACCTCTAAATCCAAACAAAAACTTGAAAAGCATTGCAATTTGACCCAATATGCAATAAAGACAGCCTAATACACATCAATAACTTTGAGTGTTCCTATATTTATAACATGGGTTAATAACTGATGGCCATCATGATGACCCTGAGTGAGAAAAATAAAAATCAGCTTTATACTCTACATTAAAAAGTACAGAATCATATGTACGAGGACACCAAGAAAGAAATTTTTAAAAATCTGCTTATAACTTTGGTTATCTGAGTAATTTCCTTATATTCCTGTATTACCTAGAATACCCCACTTCTAATGGTGTCAGATTAATTAGATTTACTTGTTTATCAGAATGAATGCCATCTTCTTTACAGTGGTCATTGAAAAGATCCTGTCTTTGCTCAAACATTTCTGGAACTCTTTTCTGAGGATTGACTTAAGTGCATATGTTTTAGAATAGTCTCTGTATGATGAATCTTTGCCCTTTAGGATGAATTTGATTTGATTTATTTATTTATTTATTTTTATGAATTTGATTTTAAAAACTGTCTCAGTAGGTTCAGTGAAAGCAAGTCCTGTGAACATGGTAGGAAGTCAATCTGGGAAATACCATGTGGGATAAAAAATAAATTGTATTTTTTTTTTTTAGTAAATTATCCCTTGCTGCAGTTTGAAGAAGGCAGTCTTATGAGTGTTTTGAGGATTGATGGCATCATTAGAATAAATATAGAACTTTCTTGGAGGATTGCTTTGAAATACATGCTCACCTGGATGTGTATGTTTTGCCACATTTTAAAGACATTAAGTATGGTTCTAATCTTAACCTTATGTTTTAAGTGTTGAATGAGAAAGATAATTTCTTTAAGTTTTCAGAGAATAGAGACATCACTGAACTACCACCTTCTCTTCTTCTCCCCTTTTTTTTCTTTCATATACTTGCCCTGTTTCCTTCTTTGCTCTTTACACTTTGGTCTATCCCAAAGCAGGCATAGTATTACCTAATCATTTGGTGACACTAAGTTTACTATCTGCCACATAACAAATAAAAATGTGCTTATGTACCAGTAAGTTATCATACTATCATAGGATTACTCCTAGACATAACCCATTGTCCTTTTCCTTTGTCCTAGGCCACCTTCAAATTTTGTCTGCCTTGTCCTCTATTGTATCCTCAAAGTCTAGCATGTATCCACTCGATAAATATTTGTTGAGGGAATGAATGACTTGCTTTGGGTAATTTAGTCAGTCAACAATTATTTGTTGAGCATTTACTGTATGCCAGGTACTATGTACCCTGGGGATATGAGTGAATCTGAAACGTCCCTGTCCTCAAGAAGCTTACATTCTAATGAGATGCATAGTTAAAAAAAAAAAGTAAAGAGCTAACTAGAATAATTACAGATTGTAATAACAGATATAAAATAAGTAAAAGGGTATTGTTGCAGAGACTGATAGAAAGGGGTCCTGATTTGGAAAGAGCAGTCATAAAAGTGACTTCCAAGATGATACACAAAGGAAGACAAGTAAAAGTAACTGGGCCAAAAGCCAGGAAGAGCTTTACAAGCAAAGAGCAAGCTTGGTGAGTCCTCAGAAATGGCAGTGTGACTTTAGGCCTAACAAGTGTGAGTGAGACAGGCGAGGACCAAACCATGCAGGGTCTCCTAGGCCTTTGGGAGTTGGGTATTATATACAGTGCAATGAAAAGAAACCATTGAGGGGATTTAAGCAGAGGAGTGACCCTGTGGAAAGATTGTTCTGATGCTGAGTGGAGAAGGTATGGCAATGGGCAGTGGGAACAGCTCAGGTCATTTACTGCTTTGATATTAATGAAAGGACTTTATGTATGGTTAAGCCTAACAGACATGAGCAAAATGAAAATCTTCAGCTCCTACCCCTTGCCAGCTTGTGCTGGGTTATTTAAATGTCTGTACCAAGTGGGTAGTGGCAAAATAGCCAGGATTTACTCCATTTTGAGCCAAAAGGGATATATGAAAGCCAAGTTAAGGGCACCTGGATGGCTCAGGCGGTTAAGCATTTGACTCTTGATTTTAGCTTAGGTCATGATCTTGGGTCGTGGGATGGAGCCTTGCATTGCATCAGGTTCTGCTCTCAGCAGGGAGTCGTCTTCTCTCCCTTTCTCTCAGCCCATCTCCCCATGCACTCTCTCTCTCTCTCAAATAAATAAATAAATCTTAAAAATAAAAGAAAGCCAAGTTCAAGGATATTTTGAAGAATAATGACCTTTTGGAAGCTTTTGACATTTCTGTCCAAACCTACCTTGAAACTTTTGTTGACAAGCCAATCAAAGAATCCTCTTTCTCTTTAAGCAATCTGTTATGCCTAAAATGGTACAGGATTAAAAAAAAAAACCCCACCAATACACATTAGACACTAGATCTTTATGTTTATCAAAGATATATGAAAATCTCATTTGAAACAAAAGACTATAATTTTAACTTTAAAGAACAATTTTAAAAATACTAAGAAAATGGATAGTTCTGTGATATTAAAACTTCCCCATCTAGGCAAAGGCAAAAATCAATGAACAGCTTCAAGATATTAAAATATAAATTAGGTATTATATATGTAAATAATACAAGTCTTCCTTTGACAGCTGGGGCAACCAGTTAACCTGCCCCCTTTCTGTCTCTGGTTCTTTTCCATCCCCTCCTGACCACAGACATTCCTTAAGGTTCATGCATGGTCTTGGCTTTCCTCTCTCCGCTTTCTTCCCTTTAGTAGTAACCTGTCTCTCAACTGAGCAAGTTTCCCTGTAAAGCTTTGTTTTGAAGTGCCAGTGGGTCCTCTAAATAGAGGTGTTCCTAGGCAGTTGGAGATGTGAAAAGTCCCTCCAAAGAAGAAATGATAAAGATACTGATAACACAGAGATTCTTGTTCAGTAGCACTGGGTGGTGCCTGGAAATCTGCTACACAGCAACGTCCAAAACCACCGTCACGGAAGGACTTGCAACCAACCAGGCTGTCAGATGTGCTCTCCAAAGGCCAAAGCCCAAGTTGCTCCCAGGGACGGTGTGTGCTTCCATAAGCTCAGGCAGCCTCACGTACATGCCGCCCCTCCCTCCCCTCGCCTGATACAGAACCCCCGCCAAAACTCCACAGGGACCGTGATGAGAAAGGTGCAATTTAGATGCTATGTAGCTTCAGAAGAGGAGAAAAGGAAAATGTAAAAAGCCAAACCTGACCCTAGGAAAAAACTGGTAGAACTGAATTTGGGGCAGGAGAGGAATTGGTAACTAGGAAATACTTGAAGTATTAGGACAAATCTACTTAATGATGCGTTGCTTTCTGCCCCACACTCAGGAAGCTCTGTTAGGACAAGAGGCTCCACTGGAAGGAGGAAAAGTAGGTCCTTCGAGATCACGGATGCTGGGGGTAGAGGTCTGGCCAGCTTGGTTACAGACACTGAGGCTGGAGAGAGAGGTCTCCTTGGTGGATGAGGAAGGATGCAGCCAGCACAGTGGCCAGCGCCAGAGAAAAGGGCAGCTGTTTTCTCAGTTCTATACAAAGAGCTCTCTGCTCTCCTGCTTCTGGGCTAGAGGGGCTCATCAGCCAGAGCCA